AACTCCTGGGCTCAAGTGATCCTCTTGCCTCTGCCTCCCAAGTAACTGGGACTACAGGCACACACCACAATGCCCGGCTATTTTTAGAGGTGGGGTCTCACTCTGGTTCAGGCTTGCCTCAAATCCATGAGCTCAGGCAATCCACCCACCTCAGCCTCCCAGAGTGCTAGGATTACAGGTGTGAGCCACTGTTCACAGCCTATGCATTGTTTCATTCATAGAGTCTTGCGGGGAAATAGAAATGAGAAAAAATAAACAGGATGCTCTTGGGCTCAAGAGTTAGTGACTTAGCTGGTTCACATTCTGCTGTGAGCTCCTCAGCTCACAAGTGCAGGCATGAACAGCTCCTAGATAGGCGCTAACCCATAGACTGTTCTTTGGGAGCACAGCTTTGATCCATCTTGCTAACCTCATATTTTTAAAGCATGATTTTGATAGTTACTTCTCTGCTTAAAAACCTTCAGTGGTTCCTGCCTGCCTGTCATGTAAAGTCTCTCCACTTGAGTGATGTCAAGGTTCTCCATGATCTAAGTCTAACCTATTTAATTCCTGATTATTCCCCCAGGATTAAACCCATTTTGCACCCAAATAATTCATCACTGTTTTCCAAATTCACAGCCAGTTCCCCATTCCTTTGCTCTATCTGGAGTTCCCTGCTCCCCCTCTTGCCTGTTGAAATCTGCAGCTAGAATGCCACCTTCCCTGCCCCTAGAGACTCAGATAAGCTTGGCAAGGGGGACATCATTGAATACAAGTGGTCCAAGCCCAAACACACTGCTTGGCCTTTTTTCTTGCTGGTCACCTCCTCGGAAGTGGTCTTACCTCTTATTCACCTTCATCTTCAGCCTGTCCTAGCTCCTGGTACAGCAGGTGTCAGAGGATTTGTCAACACTTACCCAGTGAAGGAGGATGGCATGGGGGCAGGAGGGACCTTCCTCGCAGGGGCCCCCAGCACCTCAACCCATGCTCCATGTGTGCAGTTCACTCCACATGCCACCCTCCAGCTCTTTGTTCCCAGGCTCCTGTGCCCAAACCTACCCTCAGTGCCCACTGCCCGTAGCGGGTGGACATTGTGTTTGTAGACAAACTTCTCCTCTAGCACCATCTGGACAGAGACGACGATCTGGGCCATGATGATCAACAGGTCCCCTGGATGGAAGGAAGGGTCCAGGTAAAGCCAGGGATGCACTGGGGCCGAGAACCAGGACAGCATGGCCATGAGGACAGAACACACCAGTCTTGACCTTTGCAAGGCCCCATATGGTTCATAGGCACAGTCACCACTACCTGTGCCTGATCCCTTCGGCTCTGAGAGGAAGGCCAGCAGGTCAGGGCTGAGGCTCCAGAAGGTACAGAGGCCTGCCTGGGCCTGAGAGCTGCCCCTTGGGTAAGCAGGTCTTTTAAGAAGCAATTAAGTTTTGAGATACGACATTCCTGGGTTAACAATGGCTTGGAACAACTCAGGATAGTCATTTCTCTATAAAATGGGCTGATTCCCTTTAGGGACTGTGAGGGTCACTATAATAATGAATACATAGTGCTCAGCACCAGGCTGGGTTCTTGGTAATACTCAGTAAGCATCCATTGCTTCTATTCTCAAATCCATCAGTTTCTATATCTGAATCTATATGTAGTATTACACAGTAAAACAGCCCTGGCACCATTTGCCACTCTTTCTTTGAGCAGCCACATACCTCTCCAAGTCTTCCCCAGAGAGCAGGTACATGGCCTCACAAAGGGCCTTGGCATATGGCAGAGCTTGCACAAGTCTGGGGAATGACTCTGTGCTGGGACCCTGAGGAGGATGGAACAGGACAGGGCAGCTCTGGTCCCCACACCCAGTCACACCTGTGATCACTTCACTGAGCTTGTGCTGATCGTCATGCTTGCTCAGGAGGTCGGCCAGGCCCACAACCACCAGCCCCGCGATGGTGGCCAAGATGCCCAGCCACTGGCTCAGCACCAGCCTCCGGCCCAGGAAGGCCACTGAGAACAGGCCTGTGAATATGATCACTGCACCCCGCAGCATCTGGAAGCTGGAGGCACTGGTCATGTTCAGAGCTAGGAGAGGAAAGATGCATGACTGTTAGCTCCTAAAGGCAAATGCTATTGGTTTCTAAGGGGTCCTTAGAGCTGGAGGCATGCCAAGCACACAGTAGGTGCTTAATCATCCCCAGCTCTGTGTGTGTGTGTGTGTGTGTGTGTGTGTAGAGTCTGGGGGAGAGTGGCAGAGTGAGGTGAAGGTCAGTGGTCGGGAGGTTGTTTCACCAGGGCTCCTCCCACATCCTGGCCCTGAGTCCTTCTCAGCATGGACTGGTTACTTACCCACATACATGAGGCTGGTTCCTGTCATGTCACAGAGGGCTGGGGGTAGGAAAAGAAGGGGGTTGAACGGCTGCTGGGGGTCCACACTGGAGTCTGCCTGCCCTGCAGCTCTGCACCGGAGGAGGTAGAAGGCAGCCAGGCAGGAGAACTCTCCAAGGAACATGCCCACTGCCTGCGGGGACGAGAACCCGAAGACTTCAGATCTGGAAGGTACCTCACGGATCATCTTCAACACTTTTTTTTTTTTTTTTTGAGACAGAGTCTCAAGCTGTTGCCCTGGGTAGAGTGCTATGGCATCATAGCTCACAGCAACCTCCAACTTTTTGGCTCAAGTGATCCTCTTGCCTCAGTTTTTCTATTTTTAGTAGAGACGAGGTCTCACTTTTGCTCAGGCTAGTCTTGAACTCCTGAGCTCAGGCAATCCACCTGCCTCAGCCTCTCAGAGTGCTAGGATTACAGGTGTGAGACACCTTGCCTGGCCTTCAACACATTTTTTTAAAGTTCAAACTTTATTCAAACAAGAGCTTACCTAGAACCCCATCACGTAAAACAGACAAAGGCAGAGCTGCCAAGGGAGGCCACAGACTGCTTCCTGGGTCTTCCCAAAGCCCCCAAAACATCTTGATGAAACCCCAAGGTTGTATAGAGCCCTGTCTGAAAACCACTGATCCAGGCCAATCCCCAGTCAAGCTTCAGGTGGAGAAACTGAGGCCTGGAGAGGTTCAGACATGTAAAACCATGAAGCAAGATAGTGGCAGAGCTGGGGCTAACATTTGAGTCTCCTGATTCCCAGTCCCACAAGTAGGGTGACTTCCATTTTTGGTGTCTGCCCTGTCCCAGCTGGGGCTGGGCTCCCAATTGAAGGAAAGCAGGCTTTTGCCACTGAGGTTGATATTTTCCATGTGTCCTGACTTGGATGTAGTGAGGACATGACCACTCACTAGGCCTCTTGCAGAGGACTGTGCCCTTTGCCCACTTCCAGACCTTGGCTTCTGTTCTGGGAGGGATAGCTCTTCTGTACACTGAAGAAGGAAGTACACTGAAGGAAGGCTGTACACTGAGGTCAAGAAGTAGCCCAGCCTCATGGTGGACGAGGCTTATGACACAGGAGGCAGGGAGGGACAGAGCCAGATACCTGGAGGAAAGGATGCTGGAAGCTGTGTTCCTTGCTCCCTCCACAGCCCTCAGCTACGAAGTTGTCCGCCCACCTGCAGCAGAGAGAGAGAGAAAGTCAGACCTTGACAGCACAGCAAGGCTCTCAACCCTGTCCTGGTACTAGTGGAAAGTCTTACTTCTCTCAATGCTAAGAGGCTCCGACTTGGGTGACAGTCTTCACCCAAAGTTTTTTTTTTTTTTCTTTAAACAGACCCTTATTGTATTGCCTAGGCTAGAGTGCTATGGCCTCAGCCTAGCTCACAGCAATGTCAAACTCATGGGCTCAATGATTCTCTTGCCTCAGCCTCTTGTGTAGCTGGGACTACAGGAGCTCAGCACCACACCTGGCTAATTTTTCTATTTTTAGTAGATATGGAGTCTCACTCTTGCTCAGGTTGGTCTCCAACTCCTGACCTCAAGTTATCCTCTGGCCTTGGCCTCCTAGAGTGCTAGGATTATAGACATGAGCTGCACCTAGCCTGCACAGCAGGGAGTTGTGGCCTGGCATAAATTATGAACATGGGAGGGCAGAACCTATGCCTTTGCAACACCATGGAAATCATGGATAGTCTCATTATCACATTAGAATCACTGTATATGTCACGAAGTATCATTTATTCTCTTCACTTATAAAAATTATAGTAATTACACCCACTTCTTATAATTTAATGCATTAAAAAGCACCTATAGGCTCAGTGCCAGTAACTCAGTGGCTAGAGTGCCAGCCACATACACTGGAGCTGGCAGGTTCAAACTCAGCTTGGGCCTGCTAAACAATGACAACTGCAACAAAAAAATAGCCAGGTGCTATGATGCATGCTTGTAGTCCCAGCTACTCAGGAGGCTGAGTAGGACGCCAGCCTCATATACTGAGGGTGGCGGGTTCAAACCTGGCCCCAGCCAAACTGCAACAAATAGCCAGGCATTGTGGTGGGTGCCTGTAGTCCCAGCTACTCGGGAGGCTGAGGCAAGAGAATCACCTAAGCCCAAGAGCTGGAGGTTGCTGTGAGCTGTGATGCCACAGCACTCTACGGAGGGCGACAAAGTGAGACTCTGTCTCTCCAAAAATGAGCCTCTGGTGTACAGTAATATTTGGGCCTGAAAATGCCTATCTGATCATCTTCAAAGGACCAGAATGGTTTGGAAGATGGTTCTAACACTGACTGTCAAGCAGGTGGCAAACACAGTGCTCTTGTGGAGCGACCTCCCAGTCAGCCCTGGCAGATGGCAATGACTGACTATGACACCCCACCCCACCCAGCCCAGACATAAGCCCAGTATCTTTGTGGCACAGTGCTTGGGGTAGTTAACCCACCAATCACTCTGAATTGTCTGCCATCTATGCAGGAAAACTCCCTCTCCTGAATTTCATTTTTGCTGGGCTTAATTATGTCTCTGAAGTCTGGTCTAATCTTTTACTGAAAGCTTTTCAGATTTTAGGGGACTTTTCAACCTTCTTCTGAATCTTCTCATCTATAGCCACAGCTTTTCCTAAACTTTCACTCCCCTGGCTGCTGACCTGTGGAGATATTCTGGGGGACTGAGGTGTGTGATCTGGCCCAGACCACAGGTGGTGAGATGTGGCCCCTCCCTTGTGTTGGACACCCCTGGATAGCTGACACAGCTCCAATTGCACCAGCCATGTCATGTGCTGACTCAAGTTAATATAGACCTAGAGATCATCTTGGTGACAAGCATCTACTCCCAAAGGGCAGGGGAGCCACTGGGTTCCTGGGCCTCCCTGATAGGGTCATGGAGCACATACCACTGCCTGTGCCACAGTCAGGGTCTGGGTTTGCCATGCAGCTAGGGAGCGGACATTGGCAGTGGAGGGACTGGCTTAGTGGTGATGGGGTTCCTGTCAACTGTGCAGGTAGTGCAGACCTGAGGGAGGGACCACATTTACTCAGAGACCTGAACACATCCCAGGGCAAGTGAAGAAAACAGGGCCCTGGCAGACCTACCCCACAGAAGAGACCCTGCTCCTGAGATGTGGAGAAAGAAGAGCAGTTAGGAGGGCATGTGGTCCTTGGGACTGGTGGGGGCAGAGGGCAGTTGAAAGGACAAGTTCAGACAGGACTGGTTAGAAGGCAGGGAGAAACCTGGAGCCCCACATGGCTCTGGAGACCAGGCTGGGACCAGTTGTAGTACCAAAGGGGGAAAGGAAGCCCGTGCTATAGTACAGAAGCCACGTGCTTCTGGGGTTGCATTTCTGCTTGATCTGCTGCTGGTTCTGGCTCTTGGACCCCGGGCAGGGCAGGACATGGACGCAGGTGTGGACACAGACCAACTGTAAGGCCCTCCCAGGCAGCCTGCTCTGTGAGTCAGGCCTGCTTTTGTAGAAAAAGCCCTCTGAGAAGGCCTGAGTGAGGCAGCTGAGCAAAACAAGAAAAGTGAGGGAGAGAAGAGGTCAAGCCTCACCAAGGGTGCAGACCCAACTGAGCAAGCAAGCGAGCAGGTCAGAGCTGGTGCCTGGGCTCTTCAACAAGGGTCAAAGGACATGGAGGTTGCCCAGTCCATGGAGGTTGACCACAAGCCTAAGGCAAGGATTCTTTTTTGTTTCTGGAGGGGGTGTGATAGGTATAGAAATCACTTCCGCACCCTGGTGCCACACCTAGACCATAGGCTGGCAGGCTCAAGAAGTCTCTCCAGAGGTGCTACCATCCTGAGTATACCGTAGGCTACTGCCTGTGCAGCTTATATTAATGACAATACACATTCTAGCTCCATATTCACTGTCATTTGAGAGTGAGCTCAGTATCCAGCTCTTCCTGCGTCTCTCAGTGCCCTGTTCCTAGCACATTACTATATAGAAGGTCAAACATTTTGGTTTGACCCAGCCAGTAGGCCTGCAGTCCAGCAGTCCTACTTCCCACCTGGGTCTAAGGTACCCCCGCTGGTGGAACAGGCTGAGAGGCAGGGGAAGGGGAAACCCCTGGGCACCCCTCCCCAGGGTGGGGGCATTTCTGGGGACCTGGGTTCAGGGCTGGTGCTGAGCACCTTTCCCTAACAAAGGATGTCTTTGCTTTTTCCGGAGGTAGATCTGCCTGGACAAGCCTGGCTGGCGGTGATCCCGGCTGGGGAAATGGAATCTCTTTGTATCTGAGGGCCTGGGGCAGGCTCACAAGCCAAAAGATTGGGTGTCAGCAGTACAGGCTGCCCTGCCAAGCCCCAGAAGCTCAGGCCTGCAGGTACCTTCAGGCAGAAAGTCAGGTTTCTCATCCTGGCCTAGAGACAGACTTTAGTTCATTGTGATGGCTCAGACAGACCCCAGTCAAAATCCAACCCTAGTTTATCTGGGGTTGACAGCAATGACCCCTAAAGAGGGGTAACACATTGTTGTCTGTCAGTGATTTACAAACATATTTTTTTTCCTTCTTTTTTTTTTTTTTTT